AAATAAATAAATTAAAAATAAATAAAGATACTTCGTGTACACTCAATAATTTCTGAATGCTCTACCATGCTATCGCTAATAGAAAAAACATATCTGAGCGTCATCTTACATGGTCAGCAGGTCATCACTTATTACGATTGAATGTTTAAATAGTCTGGAAGATCATGGCCCGAACATTCTTCAAGTAAATATAAGGTATGAACTCATACATCTGCTATACTAACGGTGCGTTCTACAACGACCTGTTATTATTTATAGGTATGTATAGTTATATAATAAAATTGTAACTGAAAAAGATCTATATTATCATTGAATATGTTTTGGAAAATCTTCTTGTACTTGTCAATATTATCGATACAGAGAATATCCAAAATTTTGTAACCTTTTGTCTTTTTGTTTGTATGTCTGTCTATTACCGCATCACGAGAAAATCAATCGACGGCTTTTAATGAAACTTAACATGGCGGTAGATGATTAGCGGGGTCAACATTTCAAACACGTCAGAACTTTCAAAAAAAGACCAAAAATAAATTTAAATAGCTTTTATTAAAAAGAAGAATGTCATAAAAGTAATTTATACTCATAGATAAAGCTTAGTGATAGTTGAGTTAACTATGTATTTTTAAATTCCATAAAATCGAAACATTATTGGACTGTATTAGAATTACTAGCTTTCCCCGTGACTCTGATGAAATAAACTGTAGCTATAGCCATAATATGGCTATAGCCAGCATATATATATATATATATATATATATATATATATATATATATATATATATATATATATATGAATGTAATATATTAGTAATATTTTGTAAGCCGAATTGCTTATTAGAAATCTCCATAAGGATTGGTCTATATCTCATTTTGTAAAATAGCCCAGTTGCCTAAAGATAGTGGTTTCATATACATAGTTTGCACATACATTTATGTACATATATAGTGAATAACGATTCATTAGCTGTAAAAACTTATATTCTATCCAATATCCAATGCCAAAACTGCTATAGGCTTGCTACATTAAAAGCTAATGTAGGTCAAAGTCAAGATGTTTAAAATATAGCCAGAATGATCACATCAAAGATAGTTATAGAAGATCAAGTGTAATTAGTCTTTAACTATTTTATTTCATATGATGAGGTTTAAAAATATGATGTTTAAACATAATATCGGGAAAGAAGCAAAATAATAAGTGGAATTATAATAGTTTAAAAACACATGATTATTACAGTTAATACAAGTAGATATATTTAAAGAAAGGTATGTAATATTAATATGACTGAAGTCCCAATACATTGTAGAAATGTCATTTTAGATTTCGGGGCTAGAAAGCATGAGTTCGCGGCCAACAGCAAGCTTAACAAAATCCATTCGAAAATTGGAATGGTGGTCTAATGTTATACAAGGATTCATCTTAACTGTCTGTAGCGACGTATAGCTAGAGCAGTATCATTCACTGACTTTAGTTTTCATTGAGGAAGATTTCAGAATTTAAATAATTTTAATTGTTTATAATATTGTTACATTTGTAGATTCCCACAACTTTATAAAAATATTATTTATAGTGTTTGATTCAAAAGTACGAGTATTTTAGCATCGCTAGTTAATATTTTCATCAAAACTAGCATTTCCCGCGGCTCCGCCCGCATTCAGATGACCAAAAAACAAATTCTTAGGTTTTACATATTAGTATGTGTCGGCAACTCTTACATTGCAGTTTTTGTATTTTTTCTCAGCAATGAGACATTTTCCCGCGGTAAAAAGTATCCTATATATTGACCCGGATAACCATCTGTCACTATACCAAATTTCATCAAAATCTCTCCAGTGGTTTTACTGTGATGCGGTAACAGATAGACAGACAGACAAAAAGTCTAAAAACTATAGATTCGGCCTCTATATCGTTAATAATGTCTATTTCATTAAGATTTTCCAAAAAATATGTATAGATTTACAAAATCTTGACTATTTCAATTAACCAATTAATCACACAAATATTAAGTACAATGCACAAATATTCCATTGTTATTTGAAGTGGAATGTTTCAAAATGTTTTGAGTATTCGTTAATTAAATTTTTACTATATAAAAGTCGTTCTAACTCTCACGAAATAAAGGTTTAGAAATATTTATTTATTAGTATAAAGCTTAAACATTTTCGAAGTGTATAGTACACAACCACCCATTTTTAGTTAAAGATTTAACTAATTTACTTAAAATACCTATTTTTTTCTACATTGCTTATTTTTAATAATAATATTTTAATCTTATAAGTTATAACTTCTATAAATATATAATAAAAGTGTTTGTTCGTCCGATAATAATTAGATGAATTGAAATCCTAGAAGCCACGAAATAAAAGAATTGAATTGAATTGAAATCCGGTGTTTTTGTAGAACACAAGAGAAGTAAAACACGATAACTATTGAAACATAGACAAAAATAGAAAAAGGATATTTACCTACATATACACACATACACGCACGTACAAACTCACATACACACAAACACGTATAATATTATGTTTTTAATGTGTAGTGCAACAGTTTATTAAAATTAAAATAAATATGTATCACGCCCTCTACTTACCTTACGATATAGACTTTCTTTTAGGGGAATTTTATTTATGTAACTATATACAGAACATACTTTCGATTTGATTTAGCTGAATTCGTTTCAAATTACTTCGCCAATGTTACGTGAATGACACAAAGGAGACGAGAGATTGATCGATAAAATAGAACTATTAAACGATATTAGATTCCATAAAAAAGAAAAAATTCTTTTTAAATCCTGGGGCCTTAAACCAGTTGTTATCCTACAATAGTTGAAGAATATATTTTTTTTTAATTTTTGAAATGGCTTTATACCTATCGTTATATATTATTATATATATTTTTTACGTTATGTCATAGAATCATATTTAGGTGTGTTATTCCCATGTAATTTCTTCATCTTCAACGATTGTGGACTTAGATCTTGTCTAAGTCCTCTGGACACAAAACATTATAGACAACACAATATCTATGTATAATAAAAACTCAATAACAAATAAATAATAAATATATACGTTTAACACCTGACCGTGAGATTACTACATCTACTGTAATTTAACCAAATTACAATTTTTATAAATGCCGTTGGATCTTGTACTGTAAAGTATCTTATTAATTCATACTAATATTATGAATGTGAAAGTGTGTTTGTTTGTTTGTTCTTCTTTCACGTCGAAACAGAGTGATGGATTGGTGTGATTTTTTGGTGTAGATAGTTGGAGGGTAGGAGAGGAGTAACATAGGCGGGAGATTATCTGATTTCCACGGGAAAACACGTTATAATACAACCAAAAAAAATATTAATGATCAGAATTACTTGAAACTTGGTATTAATGCTTTTCAGTACAATTAAATAAATTCGTGATTTTGCACTTTTGGAAATTCATCCCATAAGGGGGTAAAATAAAGGATGAAGAGTATCTTCATTGTTGTTATCTTTTAATGACGATCGACATTGAAGTCAAAAGAATCAAACATTTTGAATAAATTTAGTGTCACTACTAGAGAGATAGAGACTACGAGGATGTATGTAATGTGTATATAAAATATGTATGTATATAAAGATTACAAAAACAAACCGCCTTCCCGTTAAGAGAGATATTAAGATAAATTTTAATGGACATATTTTGGTTTGTTTTTCATCATTCATCTTTTGATTTTCCTACAGCTGAATACAATTAATATTTCTATTACTAATTTTATTCGTATCCATTTCGATATAACAGCCAGAAGAAATAACAAACACACTTAACTTACAGACTTTCGAATTAGTATAGTAATAACTCATTAGGTTTTAAATATATTTAAGATTAAATCATCACTCTTAAAATATACTTATTTTCGCTATACCTATACCTACATATATAAAATTATATAAAACATCACAAAATAATCATAATTAGTTATGACTTGGATTTGCATTAGACCAGAATATATATACAATTTTCATATTACCTGCCAAATTATAAAACAGCTCAAGGGCTTTATGTTTCTGATATATTTCCTTGAGCGAATCCCGACTTGTTTGTAAAGAAACGAAACAAAATTCTTAACGTACATTTCTATTACCTATAATATATATGGATTTCTGTATAAAATATAACTACATAAATAATATAAATACTTTAAGAAATAAACGTATAAATATTTTAATTTAATAAAAGTAATAATTACGGTCTTAGTGTAAAATATTAATTTTTATAATTTTAGAAAAAATGAGAGCTTTAAAACAATATTAAAATATGTACAACAATATATATTCAACACAATATTCTTTTCACATTATAAAAACTTCGTCCATTACGCTAGGCCCGGTAACTCATAAAGACTTATATTATGATTTAAATAATAATACATAATTTTTTTATAAATAGTAAATATTAAGAATAAAATGTATTTATAATTAAAACTACAGCCAGGGTCGCACTCAGAAGAGAGACGGCAACAGGGATTGTTGCGGGGCTTTCATAATATATTTAGATATTTATATATATATAGGACTGTGTGTGTGTCTTTCTACAAATTAAGAGAAAATTATCTATATATTAATAGTAGTCGGAACAAGAGGCCTAACCGACAGCCTAGAGGTCACAATAAAAAATATTTTAGTATAAATATTATCATTTAAGAACTATTAAGAAAATTGTTTTCGATTATTTTAAAAATTCGAGTTTTAACTTTTTCGTTGCTTCGGGCACCCGCGTCTTTAAATCCGGCTCTGAAATCAGCCTTATGCCACGATGAAAAGAAAATATTACAATGTATTGTTTTAATAATTCATAATACAAACATTTAATACATATACAAATATCACTGTGGAGAAATATTGCCAATCCATTGGAAAAGTACAATACAAGTTCAATAACAATAAAAACGAGCAAAACCATTAGAATATAATGATTTATTATTAATTTCTAGTTTGAATCGCTATTCAGGAGGCACAATGCGCGTCACGACGTCTTTATTGGGCGCAATTTTAATTAGAGTATTAACGAAACGTGCAGACGGGTGCAAGAGGGTGCACGAGGGTGCAAGAGGGAGGCTGGGCGGGCGGCTAGAGGGCGCGCGGGTGCAGGTGCACCTGGGCGGCGGCCGGCGCCCGGCGGCCCACGTGCCCGGGCCGGCAGTCGCTCGCGAGCCGCCGTCGAAGCGCCGCTACCGGCCGCGCCCGCCCTCCGACGCGACAGGTGGCGCCGCCCGCCTGCGCGCTCAGCTCGACCTACCAGTCTATACGCCCGGTTCTAAACATCAAACTTTCAGCGCTTGATTTCCGTGCAGTGCGTTCGTTACCGGTTATTATTAATGATAATTAAGAGTTTTATGAGTGCTTTGGATGGTTCAATTGAAAATGGTACCCTATATTTAGAGGATTTGAAAATATTTCATCTGTTTTAATACTGTAAGTACTGAAATAAGATAGTGGTGTATATTATAAATGTATTATTCAAATTGCGTTGTGTATATTTTAAAAGCTATGTTAATTAAAAACAAACATGAATTCTTAAAAGTAGCCGTTACGCGGACATTTTTGTTCGAAACAAGTGGGTGTTTCATATATAATTACTGTACTTAAGAAGTTATAGTATAAAATATATATAATACATATAAAATATATACATATTTAAAAGAATGTAACTAAGAAAAAGAAAAATATCTATAATCCCGTTAAGTTTCATTCCTCAGCTCTTTCCATGGCTAATGAATTTTCTTTCAGATGTCATTGTAAAGTCTCTACTGTAGAGATTTATTTAAAGTAAGATTTATTTATTTGAATTTATGTTTTAATGCTGAATAAGCTATTTAGAATTTGTTTTAATTTAACTTACTTCACATTAAAAACATAAAAGTAAAACAGGATTATACTTTTTTGTTAATAAATAAATACTTTGAAGATGAAGATAAGAAGGAATTTGGATCTGTTGATTATAATATATACGAGTACTCTCTCTTTCGAGTTATTGATAGTGAAAATTTAGGCAACAATTTAAACGATGGAATTTTTAAGGAATATGTATTGGATAATTATGTATTGTATTAGTATGGTAATCCTTAAGTACAGCTTATTCTAGCAGAATAACATAGTAGTAGATAGGATAAGTATTATTTTGTGTAACAACAAGTTAAAATCACTGTTTGAGACATGGTAATATTTGTTATTTAGCATTTTTTTATAGACAGAGGAACTCTGGAATTTACGTTTCTTAGATTTATGTATGTATTTGTCGTTTTTAATAAAACTATCTTTTCGAATGTTTTCGTAAATTTATTTTGATATTTGGTTCCCAAACGTCTACCAAAAATCAAAATAAATTCGCGAAAGGCGTTTAAGGAATTTAAAATTTTCAATAAACTTGTATAATGTAAATTTTTGTGTCTAACGACACTTAATATTATGAAAAAAAGCTAGTAGCCTGAAATCAAAAAAATCGTTAAAACAATACATTTTATTACATACTTAAATTAAAAAAATAGACAATCATATTTGCACTAAGATTTCTTCACTAAGAAAAGTACTACAAAGCGATTAATTAACATGTTGAATTACTTCCGATCAAAAAAAAAAATTTTAAAAAACCGACTTCCAGGCACTAAAATGTAAAAAATAACTAAACGGGGGTTTTCATTTAGAATAGATACCTAATCAGATATTTTCGAAGTCGGTGCCAGCCGACAATATTTTATGATATGAATATCTAATAGGTAAATATGATAAGGTATGAACTCTAATTATATGTAGTTATAATATTATACATCAATTTGTGATGTATTTTACGTATCGAAATATATTAGATTTGCTTTGCATCGGCTGGCTTTTTAAAAAGTCGTTATTTTTCCATTTTTAGTGTAGATTTATTTAAAAAAATAATCTATTGTTGATTTTATAAAAAAACGCTCGACCAATTTAGATAAAAATTTAAATGGGACCTGCGAAATATATCCTTCGAAACTAAAAAAAAATCTAAATCGGTTCAGGTGTCTTCGAGTAATCGGTGAACTCCTTCTCCTTCGGCTCCTCCTTCTTGAAAGTCGTATAAAAATACATCAATCATCATACAAAATCAGATTATTCCAAATTATCCAATACATATTCCTTAAAAATTCCATCGTTTAAATTGTTGCCTATATTTTCACTATCAATAACTCGAACGAGAAAGTACTCGTATATATTATAATCAACAGATCCAAATTCCTTCTTGTCTTCATCTTCATCTTTATTTATTAACAAAAAAGTATAAAACTGTTTTACTTTTTGCCAACAATTCAAACATTTTTTCTTTAATTGATTAGGTCCTAACATACATAAATAAGTTTTTTATAAACTAAAGTTTATAAAAGAAATTAACGCTATTTATGAGTTGTTTTTAATTATTTAAATAAAATATTTTCACAACTTTTCCTTATATCTTTTCATTTTTCATTTGATTAAGTTGTATGGCCTCTTTAACTGACGCATCATCATCTACGCCTCAACAAAATGAGCGTTGTGCTCATTTTCTCATATATTTCGAAATTCATTGCTTTTTTCCTGTATAAAAATATTTAAAATGGCCTAAGGCATGTGGTTGGACTCATTTCATATATAATATTATGTTAAAGAGGTTTTATATATTAAATATTTTTCTCTTTTAATATATAAAATACATATATAATATATATTAATTATTATTATGCGATACTCAATTTTTTCACACACTTTGAAGTTTGGAAATCTAATTCCATAATAATAAAATATAATCTTAATTTTTACATTTGAATATCTATTTTATCTTCTCGTGAAGGTTAGTACATTTTTTTTTTAAGTAGAATTTAATTCAAATATAAAATCAATGTAACGTGATAGTCTAAGTTGTTATAGCTTATTAAATTAAGTTATCCATAGAATTACCTTCATATATTTTATATTTTCAAGAAGTAATAGTAAATAAAGAGGACATTTACAAAGTGTCCTTTAAAGTGTGATAATATTTAAAAAGCTATTACAATTCCCACGGGGTTAAATTTTTGCGATATATGAAATAATATTCAGGCTATGTTTATTTAGGTTTATATTTATTTTATTCCTACTCGTGAGCTTCATGACGCACTGAAGTGAATTTTATTCGCCGTAGCGACCCTACTTCATACGTTCAATCGTTAATACTTAATACAGCTATAAATAATTCTTGACCATATATCAATCGTACTTGAATTAGTGCTATAAAACCAATGAGGTAAAATAATAATCAAATATTTATTATCCAACATAATCTATTATTTTAAATTTCTGTATTATTGAAGACTTGACTCACTTTCTTTATAATAACAACATTGAGGATGAATCTTCAGTCAAGTATCATGCAAGATTTTCAAGTACCCGATTTGTATTTCATCTCTTTTTCGTTACTGAATAATATTTTGCTCTGAAATCTTTCTTTTATAAAAAAGTAATTACCTTTGACCGATGCAAACTCAATAGGTAAGTCGGTAGCCTATTGAGTTTCAATAGGAATTATAAAATGAAGTTGTAAAATATTTTATAATAATTAGTACCGAAGATGAAGCCGTTGAAATGAGTTTTTATATTTCATCTTTACACTGAATCTAATTCAGATTTCAGTCTCTTACAATATTTCTTACAGGTCTATCCGTATTAATTTTATATTGACACTACTCAACTTATTTATTGTTGGATAAAAATACATGATTAACAGATTAACGGTCCGCAAAATAGACACAATAGTTAAACAATCGAAATGTTCATATATGTATGACTCATGGGACTGGGAAACGGTTAAAATTAAAAAAAAATAACACGTAAAATACTCCATGTAGAGCAAAATATAAAATATACGTAATAGATTTATTATAATTTATTACTTGACGATAGCCTGAGATAACGGCCAATCTATCTATGCTAATATTATAAATGTGAAACTTTGTAAGTATGGATGTATGGATGTTTGTTACTCAATCACGCCAGAACGGTTGAACGGATCTGGATGAAATTTGGTACAGAGATAGATTATAGTCTGGAATAACACATAGGCTACTTTTTATCCTGGAAATATGTACCGTTTCCGTGGGATAGGTTTATTTTTGTTTTGCAAATTGTACAAGAGGTTGTTTAAAAATGTACTAAAATTTAATTTCGATTGAAAAGTAAAACAAGACGATTTTCCTTTACATAATTTTATGACAGAGGCACACCTATTCGAAAAAGAGATAATATTTTTTATAGACTTTCGTAAAATATAGCTAAGAGCCATTCCCAACAAATAGCTAATTACATATTAGGTACATAAAGCAAACACAATTCTTAGACAAAAGATTTAATGTACAACTTTGACCCCGTTGACAATTTTACCGTAAAGATAAATGTAGAAATGTGAAAGAAATTTACTGCTCTTTATATCAATTAGATGTCGAGGTCATTAGGTAATTACGGCTGGGATTTGATTTTTATTCTATTATATTATTTTCCAACACAATTTGCTATATGATTGATCGTCCTTCATTATGTTATTCGATAAATTATCTGAGCACATCGGGCAGCTTTTCCAAGGGTTTGTCAGATCAATAAAAATATTGGAAAATTTACCAACTTTGAGAACTGTTCAACTTAGTACCAGCTTATGTTTTTCCAAAGCTAGTCGTCGTGAGCTTTTGTAGAGCAGACGTTTTAGCCACAGAAGCTTTTACCTTCTCTCGTCCAACTTAACATTTTTATTAATTGCTACAATATTATAAATGCACAAATGTTCCACTTACTACTTATTATTTATTAAAATCCCCTTCCACGCTGAGTGGTGATTTCAAGGCTTACCTCAAAAACTACTGTACGTTTTTTACTTTTTACAAAAAAAATCTGTACGATATTTGTGAATTAAATCGAAACTCTCTTTTGAGAGCCTGGTGATATTAAGTAAGTAAACAGGGTATCTAGTTCTCATCTAAAAGATTGAATAGTTAAACTAACGAAATCAAGGTTTGATTCAAAAGTAGTTCAAGAGATGTACCGATATGGCACCTCTCTTGAACGCATAGGTTTTTTTAAATAAAATTTAACTTAATTGTTGGAAAAGAATCTTTGCTGGTTTTATAGAGGTTTTTTTGATACGAATGACAAAAACTTACAATTAAAGAATTTTTAAGATTTATTTTCACTGTTAGTATATTAAAAACAAAACCAACCCATCAAATAGTAAAAAAACTGAGAATTTAAATATTTAATCGGTATTGCTTGTACATACCGAGTACGCATAACAGCTTATACATAACAGAGTT